ATATGGGATGCTGGGAATTGAACCCAGGTCGGCCACGTGCAAGGCAAATGCCCTACCCGCTGTGCTATTGCTCCAGTCCCAAGCTAAGGTTTTTAAATAGGTTATAGGCATGACTTGTATTTGCCCTACTCAAAAGTCACTGTCATTGAGTACATAAGGAAATTACTGTAAACATAACTACACACACACGTAAATACCCAGAATTTTGCTCTATTGTAAAGTTTGATAATGAACTTTTCCTTAATTGCAGAGGAATGTGTGATTTCTGTAAAGCATATTTCATGTGCATGTCTTTTTTATTGTTCCCTTGAAGTGAAGGTATACTGGACTCTGAAATTCTGACATGTAAGGACAGGATGACAGACATCATTGTGGGACCTCCGTTGTTCATATCTCAACTCCACTGTGTGGTTGTGTAAATTGGAAAGCTAATTCTTTCTTAGCTCAGTTTTTCATCCATAAAAATAGGAATAGTATTTATTTCACATATAGTAATATTAATAATACAGGATACACATCTTACAAATAGGTATAGAATGCATTGTACACAAAATGAAAATATCAAATAATTTTATTTGCTGGGGAAGGGCATTCATGGCTCTGTGAAACTTAGAGATTCCCTTTAAAAATGTCAGATACATGATAGGTTATATAAAGTTTTCTATAAAGTTCTTCTTACTTTTAAACTGTCTTAGAAAATAATCTACATTATATCAGGAATGGGGAGTAACTTATTTTTTTTTAAGGATAGTATTATATTGTTCAAACATAGAGAACACAGAGTTTTAAAGCTTGTAAAAGTATCCCATGCTTTTGAATGAACTAATTCTGAGTGTCCTTCAATGGTTCATTACGGTATTTTTGGCATGCTGTTTGCTTAACAGTTCCTTAATAGCTACTGCTTTGTCTGGCTTGAAAAGCAATCAAACAATGCTTCTTGTCAGGCATCTGTGTCTAAATTCTGGTTTCATTCATACAGATTCTCATTTTCATGGAAGAACCACAATATTTCAGAGCAAATGCTTTAGGGAAAAGGGGTCTTTCTCAGAGAGAAAAAAAGGAATATGGGGAATTTACTGACACTCCCCCCCCCCCCCCCCCGTGCCCTTAACCTTCTCACAGCCCCACTGGATCCTGGGCTCTCTGGTGTATTCTCCAGGTCACACACTCACTGGCAGTAGGAATAAGGGCAATGCCTGTATAGGTCTGCCCAGGCTCCCCACTAGGGAGCTACATCTGTCCTGCGCTGTTGGGTGCTTATCCACAGGACACAGGTGGGTCCATTCCCATAATTAACTGAAAGAAAAAAAGAAGGCAGGGTCAGGTATGGTGTTTTTAGACTATCACTACCTGGCAGGATGTCCCAAGGTTCCAATGTTCCGGAACAAGAAGGGAGTAGAAATTTTCTTGGTCTTGGCCCTTCACCAGAGGTGCTGTGGGTCTGCTCTGCTCTTGTTGGTTCATTTTTTTTTGCTTGATCTTCAATTTTCCCTGCTCTTTGAAGTCATTGATATGCTAACTCCATTGAAATGGACTTAGGAAAATTCTGTTTAACTAGGTTTGGTCTGAAGAACTAAAAAGAGACACAGAGAAGGAGAGGCAAGCGAGGAGAGTCAGATGGTGCTGAGGGGGGAGGTGCAGACAGGAGGTGATGCAGAGTCTGTCCCTTCCAGATGGGTGAGAGTCTGGGAGCAGAAGCTGCTGTACTTTAGGATCACAGGTTTAGGCCCTTGTTGAGGGATGGCCATTGACTGTCTGTCAAGTTGGCCCTCACTTATCTCTGCATCTATTTCCCCTTGTGCAAGATTCAGAACTGCTTGCTCCAGAGAAACAATAAAAGCATTCACATTTATAAAAACTGCACAGGGAAAATTTGTCTTAATGTTATATTTTCTACTATTGATAGTTTGAATTCTGTCCTGAATTTATGTTGTCCCTATACAGAGAAGAGACTTTCTGTGTTTCTGTGAAAAGGGATTCTGATTTCTTTCTTGAAAAATTTCTGGTATTAGTTTTCCTTCAGGTGACAGTTGACAAAAGCAGTTTATTGATTCACTTTGGGGTTGATCTCTTACTAATTGCAAGCTCCTTTGCTGCAAAACTCAATTCAACCCTGAATTCCATCTTCCATTTGGCACTACTTTCTGCTTCAGTGTGGGAGAACAGAGTCCAGTAAGTTCTAGCTAAAATAAATACAAGTTTTTGGTAGCACATGTGTAATGGGATAAGATGGTTTCCCAGGCCCCTTTGGAGATTTCCAATGCTGCCCTTTTCAAGCTCTGCCTTTGGAAGGTGCATTTCCTCAGTTTCTCATTACTGAGTTATTATTTCAGTCTTTAACTACAATTAAAGTCTCGTGGAGAAAACAGTGGAAGAAAGAAATAAAAGTTACTCCTTTTATCATCCTGAGCTGTAGATTAGGAATTTTGAGGAGTTTAAGGGAGCCCCATGTTACAGACAAGAAAGGTCATGGAATTCATAGGGCTTCATCCACACTGAAAATATCCATGCTGGCTTTATTCCTAGCTCTTTAAGAATATTAAAAATTGGTCACAGCAATTTCACTCGATACATGCCCAAGTGAAAACTCTGGTATCAGTAGGATTCCCGGAAGTGTGTCTGAGTGGGGCTGATCACCTAACAAAGTCCTTAGTGATATTGGTAGGAAAATAGCTATAGACAGTTAGTACCAATGTATAAAAACTTTCTTCACACAAATCCAGAGTCCTCTGGCCCCATGTTGCTGCTCTGTACAATAGCACTAGCCTGCCCAGTGAACAGGCTGGTTCCAGGAAAATCCTCACCCAATTCCCTTCTTTCAGTCCCTGTCCAGAGTGAGGGCTGTGCTGCACAGCAAGCCTCACTCATGGGCAAAGGTCCTCGGCTTCTTTCTGTGCAGGGTCTGAAGCTCTGGGAAGGAGCACCAATCTGTTCCATACCCTGCAGTGTTTTGGTGAAAGACATTTCTGAGATTGAATAAAGCACAAACTCTAAAATGAAGATGTTGAATCTATTTGTAAAATAAATGTGTGTTGTAGTAAATCAAAAGCATTTATAATAGTACACTTACAATATTCTTAGTAACTCATTTTTGACTTAAAGATAAAGGAAAAACTTGTGGATGGAGATGAACACATGCACACACATGAATATTTTAATTACCATAAAGTGAAGATAGTATGGATGTTTTCTTCTACATATTTTTAAAATATTAAGAAATATTTATATGAAAAATATTCAAAATGAACAGTAGCATAAAAGTTTTTTATCCAAGTAGTATTTGTTGTAAAATTATTTGAGTCCTGCTGTATATCTAATAAATACATTTTAGGATTTTTAAAATTATCACAAAAAATACTGCATCAATATTCAGAAAACAGAATCACACATCAAAGCTGCACATATTTCTCTCATTTGAGTGCATCTTATTTCCTTATAATAATTTTGACTGTTTCCAAAGCATTACACATTTCTGTCTTTTTCATAGTTAAAGGCTCTGAGACTGGGTACACTGCTCTGATTCTGTGTTTGCTTTAAGCTGCTTTGTCAGTCCTTGCCTGCCTGTGAACCCTTGCTCCTGGGTGTGAGACAATGTGAGTAACAGAAAGAGCAGTTTTTCTGCCACCCCAGTCACTGACTGTAAACCACACATCAGTCGTGAAAATTTATGTCCCAACTCACACTAGAGAGGTGGCTTTCAGAGAGGTTTGCAGACCTTTCACCATCCACATAAACTGACAGTCATCTGTGTCTTCTTCATAACTAATGCCCATTTTACTGAAGTTAAAATACATATTTCATAGGCAAAAAGTGATTGTCTACATATATATGACCTTTTCCTACAAGGCTTTAAAACTCTGGTTGAAGAGGGCAAGAACTCTCTGAGCCCTCCCTCAGTGTCCAGATATCTCAGGCCTACATGTCTGAACCAGCGGTAGACGAATCCCCCACAGGGAAGCAAAGTGTTTGGGTTTAATGGTTGGTTCAGTCAGGTTAGAGAAGGATCCCATCTAGAAGTTTTCTGCCAAGCTTAACTTAATAAATATTGCTGAGGTCACCTTCTGGTGGCCACACATTTCCCATGCACAGAGTTCCCCCGACGTCCTTTATTGGAGACACCTGTAACTTTCAAGGTATAGGCCAGGACCCCAACTACTAGGCAAACACAGCCTCTGCCTGATTCTGTGGGCATCTCTCTGGGGTTGTGATAGTGGGCACTGATGTGCAGAGAATTTACTGTCCCACTCACGGGCAAACCTTTCCAGTTGCTTTGCTCTTTTTCTCCCATTCTGAGGAGCCAACCAAAAGAAGAAGTTTTGAGGCCTCTCCTGGACTTGTTCTGCTGCTATCACGAGCTTGACTTTTTTCTGTGTAAGAGCACTGGAAAAGTCTGAGAAAAGGCTCCAAAGAGTGGGGGACAAAGACAGAAGCACCCGCATTACCCATCTGCCAGGCTGGAGGTGTATTCATTATTGATGGAGGTAGTGCAGTTGCTGCTCATATATGCAGCCCTGCCTGGGTAAATGAGACATTCTTCAGCAAATTGCTTCGTTTTTTGATTGCTGATTGTACGCGTGTCACCAAGCTGACTCAAGGTTCATCGATGCATGCTCAGTAAATTAGAAAGAACATAACTATGGATCAGCCAAGAGAATGAATTCTGTGCCTACAATGACCCAGGGCCATTTAATTTTCTGCTTAATTTTGTTGCAGTCAGTTTGCATTTTGGGTTATTATGCAGTAGGAAATTAACAATAAATAACAAATTTGGTCCTCCTGTGCTTGTAATGATATTTTTATAAATCTTTGTAATGCTGTTTTTAAAAGGATCAAGGTCTGTGCCAGTCTGATACTCCAGCAAGTATGTAGAAAGGAAAATGCATTATTCTCGCTAGATAACATTGTTGTTAAATAGCATAAGGTTTCTTTAACTCTCTCTTTCTCTCTCCTATCTCATTAGCCATTTGCTTTAAACTAAAATTCCTTCCTCTCTTTTTCAGATAACCTGAGGACAATGAATGCTGAGGAAGGTCAAGATTTGTCCCAAGTTTCAGGTGAGAACATTTTAAGATGACCTACTTGGGCAGTGGGGGAGGGGTGGCTCCTGAGGACTGTCTGTTGTAATCCAGCAATTAGGTGCCCATTTTTACATTCATGGGGAGAAATAAAAAGGTCTGTCCTGCAAAAGGGAAAACCAAGGTAGAACTTACATTATCCTTTAACTTCAACTCTTAAATTTTCCCAATTTGAGAATCTGAACAGAAAAATCTCAAAGATAAAATTGGCTTCACTATTAAATATGAAATAAACTTGCAGAGAATTAAGTATATGTACTACTCATGGGGGTAGAGGGTTATCTTCTCTAAATCCCAAATGCATGCCAACAATTGTGTTTAAAATAAAAAGAGGGAACAAGAGGGAGTTTGGAAGGAAGGAGGGAGAAAGGAGAAAGGAGTTTCAGAAGCATAGTTTGGGGACTCAGTTTAACATTTTTAGAATGTTTATTAAGCTTAGTTTTTTTGGTTCTTGAATTTTGTAATCTGCAGGAAATTTTTTTTAGGTAAGCTTTGATGGAACCTTTCATCCTAGCAATTGTTTGTATTTGCTTCAGCCAGCCACTTTAGGGTCTTTCAGCCCAGAACTCTCCAACCTGAAGCTGTTGGCTTGATGTTCAAGTGGTGTGGACCAAGCCTACAAAAATGACTCCAACTTCCCTGCTATTTTTTTCATCCTCTTTAAATTTTTATTCTTTCTTTGTTTAGCACCACAATAAGTTTTACTATGACTTTTGGAGAGGGTGATAGAATTGCCAATAAATCACTATAGCACTGTAGCACTGTCCTCCCATTGTTCATCAATTTGGTTGAGTGGGCCCAGTAATGTCTCCATTGTGAGACTTGCTGTTACTTTGTTTGGTGTATAGAATATGTCACAGGTAGCTTGCCAGGTTTTGCTGTGCAGGCGAGATACTCTCGGTAGCTTGCCGGGCTCTCTAAGAGGGGTGGAGGAATCAAAACCCGGGTCAGCTGGGCCAGCTACATGCAAGGCAAATGCCCTACTGCTGTGCTATTGCTCCAAAACTACACCAATAAATCAAGGCCTCTAATTTTCCTTCCCTGTCTTGAGCATAGCACAGTTAGTAGGGCGTCTGCCTTGCATGTGGCCAATCTGGGTTCAATTCCTCCATCCCTCTCAGAGAGCCTGGCAAGCTACCAAGAGTGTCCCGCGCGCAAGGCAAAGCCTGGCAAGCTACCCGTGATGTATTCGATATGCCAAACACAGTAACAACAAGTCTCACAGTGGAGATGTTACTGGTCCCCGCTCAAGCAAATCGATGAACAGCAAGAGGACAGTGCTACAGTGCTATTAAGCTTAGAAACAGCAGTGTTTCCCTTCAAATATATTAATTAAGACTTATTGGATGTTGCCCTTCTCACCAGGGAGAGTAGAAGTACAATAGGAAATGGCAGAAGACAAGGCCTTGGGATGCATCACGGACTATCCCATTGAGCAACAGGGGAAGGATGACCCTCCACTGTGTGTAGGAAGATCTCCACAGCTCCCCTGTGCAGGACAGTCAGGAGACAGACCCCCTGCTGTGGGCTGTTGGGCTTTAGTATATAACACCTGGCGGTTTTTAGACTCCTGTTCCATGAGGCTAGACTCTGGGTGAGCATGTCTTTCCTTTGACCTCTGGGCCCCCTGCTCATCACTGATGCAACTGTCCCCACTTGTTTTCAAGTTTTTATTGAGCCATGATGTTCCTAAGTCAGATCACGTAATAGAGACCAGGCCTGAGAGTGGCAGCTGGTACTTGGTTGCCACTCATTGGAGAGTGTGTTGGAGAACTACTCAAATTTCATCAGAAGGAGACCAACCTACAGTTGCACCCATATCCTTCCTCCCCTGCCCAAGATTCTGTTAAAAAGTTCAAAAGTTTGAATTTGACTCCTGAATTCGAAGAACAAGCAAAAGATCAGATTTTCAACTGTGTCATTTACATTTGAAGCCATTTAGTCCTAAAACCATTTAGGCAGGACCTTTGGTGGAAGTGAAAAATCTATCAGCAAGTTTGATATTACCTATACTAATGAAAGTCTACATTTAAAATGTATTGAAGAAGTTGATCCTAAAGATACTCTCACAAATGCAGAGTATTTAATCAGAGATTCTCTGAAGCACTGGCACCTGAAAACTTTGATATATCCATCCTTTTTTTCATCCAGTGCCTAAAAATGATGATAGTAATAACGAAAATAATGCTTAAAAATAAACATGATAGGAATAGTATGAAAAGGTGTCAAAAAAATACAAATACAAAAGAAAGGTTTTTTAGGATGGTGTGCAAAGTATTCTGTTTTTTAAAATGCCTGCAAATCACACACTTTCTATATGCTTGTGTATACATCTAGGAAAATTATAGAATAATTTATAAATCGATGAACAATGGGAGGACAGTGTTTTGTTTTTGTTTTTCTATAAATTATATATATCTGTCATTGTCCTCCCATTAATCATGGATTTGCTCAAATGGGCACCAGTAACATCTCCATTGTGAGACTTGTTGTTACAGTTTTTGGCATATTGAATACATCACGGGTAGCTTTCCAGGCTTTGCCTTGCGAGCTGAGTACTCTCTGTAGCTTGGTGAGTTCTCCGAGAGGGGTGGAGGAATCGAACCCGGATCAGCTGCGTATAAAGTGAATGCCCTACCTGCTATGCTATCGCTCTATAATATAATAATAATAATAAAATCTATCAGTTTGTGATCTTTACTCTTGATCCTAATAGCAATACTGAATGCCTTCACTTAGGCAGGCCTTTCTAAAATGTTTTGTCTGAAGAACAGCTGGTCAGTTTTCTTATTCTATACCATGGTAACAAAAACAACAAAAGCCCGAGGCTGAGTTATAGTATAGTGGGTACATTGCCTTGTATGTGACCAACCTGGGTTGATCTCCAGAGTCCTTTATGGTCCCCTGAACACCACCAAGAGTAATTCCTGAGTGCAGAGACAGAAGTAAACCCTGAGCAACGCTGGATATAGCACCGACATCCTCCCAAAAAAGTCTCATTTTCTTCTCATATTTGTTTTCTTGACATTATGCTACACATTCCATTTGTTCCAGGAGCTGGATGTTTAGAGGAAATGATAGTGTTGTAGAGGTTTTGACATGAGGGGATGACAAGAAAGCAGATGTATTACATGTGACTTTCTTAAAAAGAAAAACCCTTGGGTTTGAAATGATGTAAGATTTGGTCTGAATTTTAGTTGGTAAACACTTAGCAAAGGAAATTATATTTTTAAAACACTAACAGCGCTTTGGGGTTTATGTGGGGTGGGGAGGGGCTTATAGGGTAGAGATTATACCCTGCTGTGCTCAGGGCTTTTCCTGGTTGTGCTCATGATACTATATACAGAGGCATAGTTCAAGTCATGCCAGGTAAGTGTGCTATCTCTCGAGCCCTAGTTCTTTTGATTTATGTTAAACGTGGAATATTTTAAATAGTGATTAAAGCATTTAGAGAATAGTGACATATTTACTGAAAATTTGAGGTTTTTTCTATTTCTTAGAATTTTATTGCAACTTCAGTTAAAACAAAGATAATTACATTTTTATATCCAAAATTATTAGTTATGGAATAAGGTTGGCCATTTAGACAAATAGGTGTTGATGTTCTTGATATGAATGTGAACAATTCTGAGGAACATGTTACTGACTCCTATATTCTCATGAAATTATTCAGTTCTATGTTTTTTCCACAGGAAAGAAAACATTAGCTTTCTAAGTTTAACCCTAGGAAATTGACAACTATTTAAGCAAAACATGCTCTAGGGTCAAAGAGAAAGTATAGGGGTCAAAACAATAGTGCAGTGGATAGGGTGCTTGCCTGACTTGCGGCCAACCTGGGCTCAATCCCCAGTGTCCCATATGATCCCCAGGACCCTAAAAGAAGTGATCTTTGAGCTCAGGCCAGGAATAAGACTAAAGCAACACTGGTGTGGCCAAAAGAGAGAGAGAGACAGAGAGACAAAGACAGAGAGAGAAACTGCAGAGATTAAGGTGTTCGCCTTGCACATAGTCAACCCAAATTCAATCCCTGCATGGCACCACATATGGCACCCTGAGCACTCCCAACAGTGATTTCTGAGCACAGAATCAGGAGTAAGCCCTGAACACAGCCAGGCCCAAATACTCCCTCGAAAAGCATGTTCTGTTATCAGCAATTTTATAGTCAACCTTATGTAAAATTACTTTCAAAAACAAAAACAATTATAATTCCAGCTTTTTTTATGAATGACATGATTATTTCTTCCCTGGAATTTATACTAAATGTGATCTGGACTTCAGTTTATACAATCTTGCTGATAACAGACCGTATTAAATGCTTAGTGATCTGTCTTTACTTAAAATATTGTTGAATGTGGAAAATGTTGTTGAATAGGCTTGGAGGAAGGTCTCCAAAACAACATAAACTTTTCTTTAGGGAACATCTCATTAACTCCTTTGGTAAAATAGTTTTTTCTTTTCTTAATGAAGATTGCCAAAAGACGATCTTAACAAACTGTATTATATATATATATGTAATATATATATATGTATATAGTACACATATATATACACATTAGATCCTTAGTTAGCTTTTTAAAATTTTTTAAAGTAGACAAAAACCATAACTGTTGATACAATTCTAGAGTTGAAATGTATTAGAAGATAAATCTCCAATATTAAAATTGATAAGCTTAAAAAATCAGTTTTGATGTGAAAATTGTTATATCTCACCACGTGGTTGTTACAGTTTTGTCTAAGGATTTACTAAGTTATTTATCGCAGCTGACCCATCTGTGTTATTGTTTGGTTTGCTTTCTAAGGTAAGGATTGGCCTAGGATAGAATAGAAGATGCAAGAGTTGAGGTCTGTATCAGCAGTAGGGTTACCTTTCATCATAACTATAGAAACTGACAGTTTTCCTTGCCTGAGATACTGTAGTCTCATTTGCAAAGTGTGAGACTTGTGCTTTTGGATTCTCTGGCTCTTATAGCCCTGTAGCT